TCATAAGGCTGGGGTCCTGACCCAAGAGGATTAGTAACCTGATAAGAAGCGGAAGAGATCCCAGAGAGCACTCTTTTCCCTTTCTCTCTCTCCCCGTCCCCTCCCCCTCCCCCCCAACCATGTGAGCACACAGTAGTGAGCCGCCTACAAGCCAGGAAGAGAGCCCTTGCCAGAAACTAAACTGGCTGTGATCTTGGACTTCCCAGCCTCCTAGAACTGTAAGGATAAATTTCTGTTGTTTAAGCTATCCAGCCTGTAGTATTTTGTTATGGCAGCCCAGGCAGACTAACAGAGTTTCCCCAAGGAAGGAGCATGTCATGCCACACAGGGTCACACAGGGAAGCAGCAGGGGCAGTCAGGAGGCAGAGGGAGAGACGGGAAAAGGCAGGTGAGAGCCTTTATTGCAGTTTCCATGGAAAGCAACAGGCGGGGCAGAGTAAGCAGGCTTAGGATTGGCTCGTTTGAATAATTTCAGTGGGCTCTGGGGTGAAGGGGCTGTCCTGAGTTGTCTGATGCTGGGCCCTGATTAGGACAGAGGATAGTGGTGCTGAGTGTGAGAGCCTGGCTTAAGATGGGGCTCTGGATGGGTTGGTTTGTACATAAAAGCTGCACCCCCAGATGAGCAATTTTACTACCTTTAGGAATTGGCCAGCCCTGGGAGGGGCAGACTCTCCAGGGTCAGCAAGGCCCCAGATGTCAAAGCATTAGAACTGCAGACAATAAAAAGGAATGATTATACAGGATAGAGAAGAGAAGGCACATATAGACTAAAGACCGTACTGGAAAGGGGGAAAGAACACAGCAACAGATTTGTTAAGAAGACCACAAAGAACCCAGGACCCTCCGTTGATCTTGTGTAAGCAGGTGACCCACTCACTGTCAATCAAGAGCACGGTTTCTGCCTACCTGCTATGGGTTTTGGCACTCAGATCCTTCAGGAAAGCTATAGTGCTTTCTCCTCTGGCATTGAAGGACACTGTGTAGATTGGATATGGGATCTCCAAAGCCCTCTGGAGGAGAAGCTCCTTGGATTCTTCAGGAACGTCCCCCACCACAAAGTAGTAAATGGATTCGATCTGCAAAACAGTGGTACCAACGGTTTATCTCCCTGACACACCCTAGCCTTGCACTGGACTCAT